TCATCAGAGAAGTCATACTGGAGAGAAACCCTTCATATGCAGTGCATGTGGAAAACGTTTCATCCAGAAGGGAGATCTCACTGTTCATCAGAGAATTCATACTGGTGAGAAACCCTACGTATGTCGTGAATGTGGTAAAGCCTTCAGTCAAAAGCCATGCCTCGTAGCACATAAGAGATGTCACACAGGAATAGTTTCCTTTGTATGCAATGAATGTGGAAAATCCTATTCTCAGAAGTCAAATCTCACTAAACATCAGAAAATTCACACAGGCGAGAAACCCTTTAAATGTGGTGAATGTGAGAAAAGCTTTGACAAGAAGGAAAAGCTCATTGAACATCAAAGATCTCATACAGGAGAGACTCCTTATGGCTGCAATGAATGTGAAAAAACTTTTGCCTCCAAGTCTTGCCTTTTATCACATAAAAGAATACACACTAGAGAGAAATGTGTAGATTCAGTGAATGTGGAAGACCCTTCCACAGCAAGTCACATCAAGTCACATACCACTGATCTCCAGCAGGAGAAAAGCCCTGTTAATACGGTAAGTAAGGAGATGCCTTCTCTGGCAGCTCAGACATCAGTAAACACCTCTGAGTGTCTAACAGATAAGAGCATAGTCCTTGAGGGACAGCCTTTTGCTGGATGTGAACCCTCAGGAGATAACAGAGAGTTTGTACAGGAGAGAAACCTTATGAATGCAGCGAATGGGGAAGAGCCTTCGGTGATCAATTACCTCATATTTTATGTCACATAAAACAGGTAGGATAAAGTGAGAAACACTCACTGGGGAAGAGGGTTGAGTGAAAATTTCTATCTCATTGTATGGCTACAAAGTGTATCCTGAGGGAAATCATATGAATGCAGAGACTGGGAATGCCTGATACACTCATCCTACATAAATATGTACTTTGATATCATGACATAATCTGATGTTAACACAAATACATACGCTTCAGTTGTTCTATTGTGCCAATAAAATGAATGAAAGTGTGAGTTAATCTCAGTGGAGGAAATAAAAGTGTGAATTTCAAAAACAGAAAAGATAATCAGTGTCTTGAATGTTGCCATAAATGAAAAAAGCCATGACAGGTGGTTGGTTGCAAAAGGATAATGGATTGGTGGGATTTGGAGCACATATAGATGAGTTCAGTTTCCCCAGATCAGGGTGAAGGAATAATCGAAAACCAGAATGTCTACCCTCAATTTTACAACTTTCTATTATGCAGAAGGACCTAAAAAACAATAACATTACATTGAGTTTATTCATTAATGCAACAAATGTTTGTCACATACTGCCTTTGTGCCTGGCCGTGTTTCCAGAACTAAGGATACAGTGGGGAATAAAAAAAGAGAAAAGCACATGCCTTCTTGGAGAGAGCATTGAGTTATTTGGATTATATTTAAGTGAAATCTTGACACTCCAACTAATCTAGTCAAAGGATGATACAATATCTACACTAGGTAAAAGAGACATGGAGTAATTGGTACAAGGGGTTTAGTTAGAATTTTTAGGAGTTAGAAAATCCTAAAAATTTCTTATGACAATTTCCTGTCAAAACTGGTTGCCATTGAGTTGATTCCCACTCATGGTGACCCCCTGTGTGTGAGTGTAGAACTCTGCTCCCTAGGATTTTCTGTGGCCCATTTTTTGGAAGTAGATCACCAGGTGTTTCTTTCAAGACACCTCTGGGTGGACTGGAGCCTGCTGTCTTTCAGGTTAGCAGCCAATTGTGTTAACCGTTGGCACTACCCACAGATTCTTGGGGTAAGGACTCCTTTTAATAGTACTTAACCATTGTAGGGAAAAAAAAAAATTTTTTTTTGGTCCCCATGTCTTACCTCCTCAAGGAGGTTATAGATTCCTTACTAGTTTTTTTGTTTTTCTATTGTATTGAAGTCAGTTCCTCTATGTGGCCTTCGGCCTTACATTTTTTGAAAAACAGCTTGAGAGATTTTTTTCCCCTAAGCGCTGAGGAGGTCTTATCTTTGCCCTAGTTTTTTGGAGAAGCAACATGGAAGGAAGAAGTGGGTTCCTGTTGTTTTCTACCCCAAAAGGATTGTTACTTATGCCCAGGATATTTTCCTGGTTGATTGACATTTTCTGGGTAAGCTGTAAACAACTTGATGGTTTGATAGTTTAGTCTTGCCTGGTAATTAAAAAGACCGGAGTTGGTGGACATCTCATGGGTAATTGAAGATTGGTTGAACTCTGGAATTGTGAGGGAGGCCCCGCCTTGCAACTAACTGATGAGAGTCAGGATATATATGTGTGTAGCTAAAATAGAGAGGTTTGGGGGAGGCCTTCTGGATTGCAGAAGAGATGCTGATTAAGAACAGGGATGGCAGAGAAGAAGAGCCATGTGAGAGTTGTGTGGTCCCATGTTTACTACACTGACTGCCAAAACTAAAACCAGTTGCTGTCGAGTCAACTCCGACTCATAGTGACCCTATAGGACAGAGAAGAACTGCCCCATAGAGTTTCCAAGGAGCACCTGTTGTATTCAAACTGCCAACCGTTTGGTTAGCAGCTGTAGCACTTAACCACTATGCCACCAGGGTTTCCAGTTTACTGAGAAGTCACCTCTGTCCAGACCCATGGACTTGGGACGTTCCAGCCTCTACAACCACGTGAGCCATTTCCTTGATATAAATCTATATATATATTAATATGTTTTACTGTTTTTTTTCTCTGGAGAACCCAGCCTAAGACATTTGGTACTGAGAGTGGTTCTAGAGAAACAAAATTGTAAGGATGAATTTTCTAAATTTGTTCTCAAGTCTGATTAGTCTTAAAGATGTTGATGACTCTGCTTCCAGTAGTAAAGAGGGCACTGCTAATCCATGGTATGAGGTGGCGATACAAATACACAAAATATCACCACCAACAGATCAGGTACTGGTGAAAGGCAGGCTCTGGGTGATTGCATGTGTGATACGTTTGTACAATTTTGTCATAATGAGAGGTGTAAGAAAGCTGGTTGGTTGGTTCTACTTTTCACTAGACAAACTGGTGAAAGAAAGAGATGAAGCTCAGGGCTTCAGAGCCAAAGCTCCAGCGCCGCATAAACAACCTAAAAGTTTCCACCTGTGCTTTGAAAGTCTTATTTTTTATAGTAACAGAGATTATATTGCCAAAAACCAAACCCAGAGTCTTATTGTAAGAATGGCTGAATTACAGCACCAACTCAGTTGCCAAATTTGAGAGGTATCTGAAATTAACGTGAGGGCATTGATTGGGAAGAAGTGGGATCCTGAATCTTGGGATGGGGACATATGAGCAGATAATCAGGAAGCTGGTGACAGTGAGACCCGGAATTCCATTGAATCACTCTTACCAACAGAACTAGTCCTCTCACTCCCATCTCAAGTGGTTACTCCATATTTGTCTGCTAAACTACCCTCCCCAGTAAAACTATTAGCCCCTCCACCCCCATCTAATGAGATTAACCCAGCTGCACCTAAAGAGCCCTTGTCTGAGTCATTGCCAGCATGGCTTGGAAGAGCCTGTCCTGATGGAAAAGCTGTATCCGTGAGTGTTCCTCAGCCTCAATCGTAACCTGTTATTTCTGTAATAAACCCCATAATTGTGAGTTCTGTGTGACCATTGCAATGAATTATCAAGCCCAGCATAGAAGTACGGAATGCTGTGGGAGGGATGGTTGGTGTCAGAATTGGTAAAGATGGCAGAGAGAGGAGGCATGTCTGACCCTCGCCTCATAGGAATCAGCCTTGGGCTATTGATCTTGAGTCTCCTTGCCCTTTGTAAAGTTAGAGGAGTTCAGACAATGACCCCACGCCATTTTTACACTTGGTAAAATAGAGGGTCAGCGAAAAAGAGGAAGATACTCAACGAGATGGATTGGCACAGTGGTTGCAACAGTGGGCTCAAGCATAATGATTGTGAGGATGGCATAGGACCCGAAAGTGTTTCATTCTGTTGTAGAGAGGGTAACTACGAGTTGGAACTGACTCGGCGGCACTTAACAACAACGTATGTGATTAAGGAAACAAACTCTGCATTAGAGATGACTATCCAAGAGCTCCATTCACAGCAAAGTGAGAAGGAATGGTGAAGATCAGAGAAATCACAGTCTTTATTCAGGTCACAGAGAAACTGGCATCTTTGAAATGGTGCTAATATCAAGGCTGACGTAAGGGTTCACCTGCAAGAAAATCCAACAGGATTTCACATCTTCCCATCTCCTATACAATGATCCATTGTCAGAGTCCCTGGGTGACAGAAATGTTTAATCACTGGAATACTAACAGAAAAATTCGTGGTGCAAACACACTCAGAGGCACCTCGAATCACCAGAGGCACCTTGAAAGACGGGCTTGGTGATCTGCTTCTGAAAGGTCACAGCCTTGAAAACCCTACGGAGCATTTCTACTCTGTATACATGGAGTCACCACGAATTAACTCTACGACAACTGACAACAACAACAACCTCCATTCGTAGAGACTGTTTTTTATTCTACTTATTCTGAAGACCTATCTCCTCTTCTGTTCTTCCATCTCTCTTTTCAGTTATTGAGTCTCTCAAATGTCACATGAAAATGTTTCTGTAGGAAAATTCCATTCTGTAAACTGCCTTCCAGTGGCTCATTCACTTCAATGATAAAGTCTTAAATTAGTTCATGGGATCATTCATCCATTTTCCAAATCAATATGTAATTAGTTATTTTTCTGTGTGCTGGTAATATAAAATCCTGTAAAACAGTGTTCTCCAATATACTTTTCTGGGATGATAGAAATGATGGAGCTTTCTCTCAGTACACGTTCCAGCCATATACAGAGCTAGAATGTCTTGCTCATTGTGCTGTCCAGTTTGGTAGGCACTAGTCACACATGGGAGCCCCAGTGGCACAGTGGTTAAGAGCTAGGCTGCTAACCAAAAGGTCAGCAGTTCGAAATCACCAGCCACTCCTTAGGAACCCTATGGGGCAGTTCTACTCTGTCCTGCCAGGTCACTAAGAGTTGGAATCAACTTGACGGCAATGGGTATTTGGTTTAGTCACACATGGCTACTGAACATGTGAAATGTGGATAGTGCAACTAAGGAACTGAATGTTTAATTTTAAAATTTAGTTACAAATTATATCAAGTTATATCTACTTTGATATAAATACTCAGAAAAACTATTAAGGAATTTGAAACACTGTAGGGTTAAATAGTTGTGGTGTAGCATGAGGATTTGTCTGAATACATGAGGGATAAGAATCAGGAACGGCACACAGCTGGTTTCTAAGAGCTGGTGGCCAGACAAACCTCCACTCTCCAACTTCTTCACCATTTCTGACATCAGCTGTTCCACCTACGGCACTCCCTATTTTCTGCTAGGTTTGATAATCCATCTCAATGGCCAAACAAAACTCACAAACCATACTCACAGTTATGTGTTTATTAGAGAAGCCACAGGCTACAGCTCAGGATCAGGATCAACTTGAAAGTAACTGGATATAACTAGGATGCAACTGATCAGTCAGGACAGTTTTTTTGAAGCTTAACCCTTGGAGCAAAAATGCTCCCTGCTGATGCAGTTCAGTGAGAACTTTGGACAGTTCTCTGCTGTTGGAGCCTCTCGGACCTAGGCCCTCTCCCGAGCCTATGGCTGTAACACTGAAGAAGAGAGAAGCTAAGAAGGGGGCCCAGCAGCAGAGAAATGGCAAAAGCAAACCAGAGCTGAGCGGCAGAGAAACAGCAGCAGCAAGAGCGGCAGGAACTGTGAGATCGGCAGACAGGCACAGTGGGTGAGTCAGCCCACGGAGCACAGCTGGGCACCATCTATCAGAAGGGCACTGATAGAGCTGGTTGCCCCAGAAACGGGAAGAAGTCACAGGCCAAGGCTCTGCAGTTGGACACCTAAGCAAAACAAACAGCAGCGTGAGGCCAAGCTGGCCTGCCTTTGACAACAGCAGATGCCCCGAGTCTGCTGAGAGCTGTAACCCTGAGACTGAAAGGAGGCCAGACCTGAGTGCCCAGAGGAAGACAAGAGGAGACTTGTCCTGATAGGGATGAGAGGGTGGCTGAGAGGAGGCCTGTCCTGATGGGACCGAGAGGAGACCTCTCCTAAGGGGGCCAAGTGAAGACCTACCAGAGGTTGCATGCAAGTCCAGAAGGGCCTACTTGCTTGCACAGCTGAGAATAGCTGAAAGAGCTGTTCTGTTTGGCAGCTGTCCTACACTGATGGAGGGATGTTTTATCCAGCTCAGGGGAGCTGTTTAACCTCATCTGTGTGCTTCCTGATCGTGATCCCTAGTTGTTACTTCCCTAAGAAACCACATAACTGTAAGTATGCTCTGTGAGTTCTGTGTGGCCATTGCAATGAGTTATCCAAGACAACAGAGAAGTATAAAGTACTGTAGAGGGAATGGCTGGTTTCAGAAATGGTAAAGAAGTTGGAGAGTGGAGGTATATCTGATGTCCACCTTATAAGAACCAGTTTTGTGCTCATCTTGATTCTTACACATCAGGAAGTTACGTGAATCCTGATGCTAGATAGCACCATGTCACATCTTTCCATTCCCTGAACTGATCAGTCAGGGTCCCAGGATAAGTTGAACAAGCCTGCTGTAAAAATGATGTGGGGCGGTATCTGACCTCCTCCAACTTCACAAGGGGGAAGGAGAATCAAGATCAACAGTTCAAGGCTTATTCCTATGAGACATGCCTCCTCTCTCCTCCATCTTTACCAATTTTGACACCAACCATCCCTCCCATGATGCTCTCTACTGCTCTGCTGGGTTTGATAATTCATTGCAATGGCCACACAGAACTCACAGACAGTACTCATGATTATGGGGTTTATTAGAGAAGTAACAGGTTACAATTTATGTTCAGAAACACTCAGGATACAGTTCTTCCATCAGGATAGCCTCTTCCAGGCTGTGCTCACAGGCATGCCTCGCTGGCCCTCACCATCTGCCCTGCTCAGGCAAGCATTACAAACCTCTTTTAACCCCTGCCAATAAGTCCCCAGAGGCACCCCAGGCACTCGGCTTTCTCAGTCCATCGGCCAGGAAGCCCACTGTAATGGTCTTCTGCAGATCTCTCCTGCTACCACTTCTTGCTATGTTCAGGGTTGCGGCTCTCTCTCTCTGTCTCCTGGTTCCAGGAGTGTCTCGTTGCAGGGATCATGGGTGCAAAGGATGCGCTGTCCTCTCCTGGGTGTTCTTCCTTGGTGGTAGTAGGATCCTCTCCCTCCAGCCTGTGGGATGGCTCACCTCAAGCCCACCAGGGTGGCAAAACTGACCAATCCCTTTGGTGGGCCACATTTACCCTATTTACACAAGACCATGGCAGGAAAGACCACACAAAAGTGATCCATCCGACTGCACCTGCCCTGAACACTGCACACCAGGTGCTGAACTCATCTCTCAAATGTTGACATCCCAGGTGAAGGAGGCCCAGTGTATACATATGCCTGGTACACACAGCCTCTG